GGCAAACACCGAGCGGGGGGCTCGTTTTACAACGTCGTTGCCAAGCGACGAAAACCCAACCCCGATGGTAAACACCATGGGGGGGGGGGGGAGAAAAAAAAAAACAAAAAAAAAAAACTAATCAGCTTCAATCCCCAAAATGCCGGGGGAAACGGGCGGCCCCTTCTCGTTTGCTCCCTTCCCCCCCTGTTTCCTTCCCCCCCCCCCCCGCCCCGTTGATTGGGGCCGAGTCTAGAGGAGGCCAGCCTACAACACGAACATGCCGTTACAATTCTCCAAGTCACAACGAATATGCGGACGATATCGCTGGGGTTAGGCTAAAGGGCAAACAAAAAAAAACTAACTCTTGCCCCCGTCTTCCGCTTCTTGGCGCCGCCCGTCTTACACTTGCCGGGGAGGGGGAGGGGCTTCTGGGCCTTGGGGATGGGATGCTTCAGTAGAGCGTGCTCGATCGTGGAATCCTTCGTGCAGCAGGATTTCTTGTGGCAAACATTGATCGCCGAGAGGATTGGGAGCCACCTGATCAAAGCAGTTCAGTTGTTCGCGAGGGGGGGGGGAGTATTGCCAAAATGTTTCATTAATGTTTGATGGAGAAGGGTAGTAGACTGGGGGCTCTGAAACAAAGCAGTTGTCTGTACGTTACATATGTTGGTAATTCAATGTCAGTCATTAGTATTTGTACTACTGTAAACACAGCACGTAGGTATTCACCTCTGGAGAATTATCGGACCATTTGGGAGAGACCATTGTCCGTTAGGATATTCTTGCGTTGTTCCTAGAGGTCGGATTAACCGCCTGCTAGCGTGACCGGGATATTGCAATGTCCCGTGTGTGTACATCTTTCCGTGATAGCTTGGACGCTCGCCCCCCGTGGTGCTCGCCCCCACTCGACCACTCCTCTCTCTTTCCTCTTTCCTTACCTTTTGGCCAACTAAGCGCCACTTTCAACCATCAATCTGGTCTTTCAACAAGTGTACTTAACAGTCACTCTGTGAGCCTTTGCACACTGTCTCTACACAGTGCTTGCCACATCCAGGGATACACCTACCACAAGGTTACATCCCAACAACATATTCGCCCAACCCGTTGCTCACCTTCCGGCGGTCGACATGGTGCAGCCGGGAACCAACGGGGCAGTAACCTTCGTCGTGACCTTCTGACCATCTGCCCCCTTCTTCCTCGACGTAGAGCCGTCCATAATCGCGGTGAGCTGGGCACGACCAGCAGTGCGGGTTCCTTGAAGATCGTCGTAGCACTCCTTCCAGCACCGCATACTCTCGATCGACACCTTGCCGTAGGTCATCCTGCTGCCGCCGTCTTTCCTCAACGCGGACACACTGGAGGCAAACTTGCGCAGTGGGGGGTCGTCGTCGTCGTCGTCGTCGTCGTCGTCGTCGTCGTCGTCGTCGTCGTCGTCGTCGTCGTCGTCGTCGTCGTCGTCGTCGTCGTCGTCGTCGCCCTCGCCGCGGCACTCCTCCCCCATATTGGCGTCTGCCCCTGCAAGTTGGAGAATCAATGCAAGTTGGAGGACAATATAGAGGCAAGGATTGGCGCATAAGTCTATTGTTATGAATATTAATACTATTATAAAGGTCTCAAAGCCGACAAGAAGGGCAATCACAAGCAATGGGAAATGTGGTCTGGTCAAGTGATTTGAGGTGTCTAGTGTCATGACTATAGCTGTCCTTCCGACGCAAAGTCAACGCCTGACCGCACGAAAACATAAAAAGGTAAAGGTTCGACACCTACCGACCCTAACATTCCCACGCAACCAAACAAACGAAACCCATTAAAAGGGACGGCTGTTACAATCGGTGGACCAAACATGGCGGGAGCACATGCAGGGCCGGGGCCCGCACCGACGCCGGTGCCCAAAGCGAGGTTTCCCAATCACTAAGAAAACAAACAAACGCGGTGGATCTGGATACTGCTCATATCACACGGCGAAAAAACGAACTACCATGTAATGATTAACGTAGCGCAGTGTTCTAAGGAACCGAGGATGGCGGCCCATCTATATTGAAGACCTCGTCTCTCACCGCTTGCACCCTGGGCGTCTCCAGCCGACGGCTCCCCCGTGGAGGCGGCGTGGTCGTGATTGCCGTTGGCAGAGAGGCCGTCTCCACCGCCGGCCACTGCGCGCTCTAGTCGACTGATCTCGGCCGCCTGCTCGGCCGCCTTGAGTCGGGCCTGGAGCAAACGAATTTCGGCAAGTTGCGACAGAGCAGCGTCGCGCACAGCGTGCAAACATTTTTCAAACAAGTGAACCAGGGGGGTACGTCGGCCCGAACATACGCAATATATATTTGCGAGGCCATGCTACTTTACTCTTCGATACGCTTTCGCAACAGCAATTTCTCTATTTTGAAAAGTTCAAGATCCTTTGCACCCGTGCATGAAAATGGGACAAGCGCCGACGATAAAAGTGGGACATTTGTCGCGTACTGTAGGTTGGAATAACGCGTGCATGATGATGGTACACATGGAGTGTGGAAGTATTGCGGAAGATGGTACATCTTTCGCGGAAGCGAGAATGGAGAATGACGTGTGGGGGCGTAGTTAGCATTTCCATCAACGCGCACACCCAAAGTAGACGCAACGAGCACGAAGCAGAGCTGCACAATGATTGACCCTAGTGTCTGTCGACCAAAAAAAACGAGGGGAAACACTGCGGGGAACCCACCTCGTGATCCGGCACGCCCCCGCTCCCTGACCCACTCGCCGTCGAAGCCCGCGCCGTGGCCTCAGCGCCGGTGCTTCCCGCTGCAACGTTATTCCGTTCCGTCCTCTTCTCCTCTCGTGCCTCGTGGAATTCATTCGCTTGCTGGAAGCGACGCAACCGACGAAAAAAAAAAGATACGGAGTATTTCATTAGTACATGTCGGCGCCTGGAAGGACGGGCAAAAACGAACCTTGCGAAAAATACTGGGAGAGGACAGAATGGTGGACAGGACAAGTAGGTTTGACGCGGAACCACAACGTGCAACACGCAACCCATCCAAGCACGGCCAGAGAAGAAACACACGGCTGCTACAATAAAACGTGTGAGTGTGAGGGGGGTCTCACCTGAATAGCAGCGGAGGCGGCAGAGTTGGCGGCGTGCTTCTTGATCGCTTTTCGCTCGCTCCTAGCCTTCTGTTGCTTCTCGAGTGCCGCCATAGACGCCCTCCACGCTGCCTTCGAGGCGTCCGACATCAGGCGTGCGGTGGCTATCTCGGCTTTT